AGATGATCTATTCTAATTTTCTGTAACTTTCTTATCATGAATGAGTGTTAGACCTTATCAAAAGCCTTTTCTGCATCTACAGAAATGATCATGTGAATTTTACTTTTGGCTCTATTGATATGGTGGATTACATTTATTGATATGCATATGTTGAACCATTCCTGCATGCCTGGGATGAATCCCACTTGGTAATGGTGTATAATTTTCTTAATGATTTGCTGCATCCTATTTGCCAATATTTTATTGAGAAATTTTGCATCTGTGTTCATTAGGGAGATTGATCTACAGTTCTTTTCTTTAGTTGAGTCTTTCTCAGGTTTTGGTACTAGAGTAATATTTGCTTCCAGGAATGTTTTAGGAAGAATTGCCTTCCTGTTGATTTCATTGAAGAGTCTGAAGAATGTCGGCATTAAGTTTTCTTTGTATTTTTTGTAAAATTCCACAATGAATCCGTCTGGGCCTGGGCTCTTCTTTGTAGGTAAGAACTTAATTACATTTTCAATTTCATTAGTAGAAATTGGGTTATTCAGCAGTTTTACATCTTTTGACCCAGCTTTGGTAGTTCATGTTTCTAGGAATCTGTCCATTTCTTCTGTGTTACCAAACCTATGAGACTAGAGGTTTTGAAACACGTGTTGATGATCTTCTGTATTTCAGAGTCTGTAGTGATTTCAGCTTTTCCATTCCTTATTGAATAAATTTGAGTTTTGTCTTTCCTTTTTTAAAAATAAGGTTGGCTAGGAACTTATCAACTTTATTCTTTCAAACAACCAACTCTTTGTTTCATTGATTCTTTGGATTGTTTTCTGAGTCTCTATTGCTTTAATTTCTGCTCTGATTTTTATAATTCCTCCCTTTTTTTGGCTTTGGGCTTGACTTGCTCTTCTTTTTCTAGATGTTTGAGGTGTAGCATCAAGTTGGGTTTTTTTTTGCTCATTCTGTTTTCCTGATATGGGAACTCAGTGTAATAAATTTTCCTCTGAGTACTGATTTCATTGCATCCCACAGATTCTGATAAGTTGTATTTGTATTTGTTGTAGGTACTGTTTAATTTCTTCTTTAATTTTCCCTATGGCCCACTGATTGTTCAAGAGTGTGTTATTCAATTTCTATGTGTTTGTGGGGTTTTTGCAGTTTCTTTTATCATTAATTTCTAGTTTCATGCCGTTGTGATCCAAGAACATGCATGTGATAATTTCAGTTCTTTTGCACTTACTTAAATATGTTTTGTGGGCTAGAAAATGTCTATTTTAGAGATTGTCCCATGTACTGCTGAGAAGAATGTGTATTCTAATGTTGTTGCATTAAACACTCTGTATACATCTATCAAGTCCATTTGTTCACAGGTGTGATTTAGTTCTGTTATTTCTTTGTTGATTTTCTGTCTGGTTGATCTGTCCCTTGGAGTCAATGGTCTGTGAAGGTCTCCTTTTATAATTGTGTTATTGCTAATTTGTTTTTTCATTTCTATTAATGCTTGCTTTATATAACTGGGAGCTCTGGAATTTGGTGCATAATATTTAAGATTGTTATCTAAGTTTTCCCCTAACCAGTATGTAATGACCTTCTTTATCTCTTCTGATCATTCTTGGTCTGAAGTTCACATTGTCTACAAACAGAATAGCTACCCCCACTTTTTTTTTTGGGGGGGGTTCTGTTGCATGAAGTATTGTTTTCCATACTTTGACTTTCAGTCTGTGAGTACTTTTTTGGGTTAGATAGGTTTCTTGTAAATAGCATATAGTTGGATGTTGTTTCTTGATCCTTTCTGCCAGTCTGTTTCTTTTAATTGGTGAATTGAGACCATTTACATTAATGGTTATAACTGTTATATATTGGTTTATTGTGACACGCTGTCTTTCTGCTGTTGTATCTTTACCTTTCCATTCTGTTTAACTGTCTGCCTTGCTTAGTGTTTTTTTCTATATGTATCTAGAACATCTTTCAGTATTCTTTGCAGGGTTAGTTTGGTGATCATGAAGCTCTTCAGCTATTCTTGTCATGGAAGTATCTTATTTCTCCATCCATTTTGAAGGGCAGTTTTTCAGGGAACACCAGTCTGGGTTGGAAGTCGTTTTCCTTTAGTATCTGAAATACTTCGTTCCATACTCTTCTTGACTTCATTGTTTGTGTTCACAAGTATGCTGTGATTCTGATAGCTTTTCTTTTATAGGCGATATGTCTTTTCTCTCTAATGGTTTTAATATTCTGTTCTTATGTTGGATGGTGATTTTTATACACCTGGGTTAATTTTATTTTAGTTATGGTCATTTAGAGTTCTATATGCTTCACTAATTTGCATGTCAATTTCCATTCTCATGTTTGGAAAATTTTCAGCTATTATTTCTGTAAATAGCCTCTTGATATCATTTGTGTTGTCCCCTTCTTTTTCATTTATCCCTATCAATCTTAAGTTGTCTTTGTATCATCTTGCAGCTGTTGAATTGTTATTTCCTGATTCCTTGTTATTTTTAAAAGATCTTTCCTTTCCTGTTCACTAGCTGTAATTTTGTCTTCAAGGTATGAAATTCTATCTTCACTTTTCTTGAGGTGGTTTAGACAACTTTCAATGTAGGTTTTGATTTCCTGTATATCTCTTTGAATCTGCTTCATGTATTCTATTTGTTTCTTATATTGTTCATTCAGGGATTCTATCTTTTTGCTTTGTTCCTCTAATTTTTTGACTGTGTCTTCTTTAGATGTGTTCAGCATTTCTCTCATTACTTCTATCATTTCTTCTTTTACCTAGGAGATTATTTCTAGTTTGAATTCCTTTGTAGCATCTTGGTGTTGCTTTTTATTTCAGTTGTTATTATTTCAGTAATTTCATGTTTATTGTTTATATTTTATCCTATGTACATGCCTCCTAGGCTTTCTTGGGATGGGCTGGCAGTTTGATATTGCATTTTGGTCTTTGCCTTGTCATTTTCCTATATTTCCATGTTTCAAGTAATGTTCCAAAGCTTTCCTTAGGCTTGTTGGAAATCATCTCCTATGTTCTTGGCTCCTGGGACTGAATGGAAGTTGCTGAGCGTAGTCCAATCAGGCCCACAGGACCTCCTGTGCCACCTCCAGTGTTCCTGGAAGCTGGGCAGGCTCCTAACCACTGTGGATGATGGTCCAAAGCTCTCCAAGGGCTAGCGCCGACCTGTTGGAAGTCACCTCGTATGCCCTCAGCTCCCCTGATTGAATGAAGGTCACTGGGCCTGGTCTAGTTGGGCCATGAAACCTCCAGAGCCTAGTCCAGTCTGTCTGGAAGCTGGGCGGGCATTTCACCGTTGAGAGCAATGATCTTAAACTCTCCCAAGGCCTGCGCTGGTGTCTTGGAAATTCAAGATTTCTTTTCTTATTAAAGTTATTACAAGCTTGGAGAAAAAATCAAGAATACTACTAGGCAAGGTGATGGGTACCTGCCACTCAACTACTTGGGAGACTGAAGCCATGCTTGGGCAATTTATTGAAATTCTGTCACAAAATAAGACAAAAAGGCTCAGGGGCGTAGTTCACTAGTAGAACACCTGCGTGGCTTGGTTCTAATATCACTTCCACACATACACACATGAAAGAAATAGATAAGCTAATGATTACATAAGAATTTTAACCCTAAGATTTCAGGAGGGATGGTCAGATCCTGAAAGTACCTAAGGGTGTGGGACATTAAAAGGAATGTTAAAGAAATTAAGAAGAAATGAGACAGTCAGTTTTGTATATAAACTATGTCACTTAGAAGTAGAAACTGCCCAGTATTTAGCATCCAAGAAAAACAAGAAGGTTAAGAACTCAGAAATGTGGCCATAAAGAAAAACAAACTTTTGAGGAAGATAATAAGGGCATTTAATTTAAAGAAAGCATTGAGTAGATAAAAAGACAATACTATTTAATATCTAAAACTTTAATACTTGAAGAAATTCAAGATTAAATTAAAAGTGAGTTTTTCAAGAAGAGGTTCATGACAGGATTTTTATTTTCTTTTAAAAAGGTAATGAGCAGACGAGATCGGGTGCATTCAGGGTGGTATGGCCGTAGACTAATTTTATTATAACTGATGATATAGGCAATTCTTTTTAAGATAGCAAGAGGCAGTATGGTAACCATTGTTGATCACCTAGTATTTTGTTTTTACATTATCTATTATGTCCATCCTTTTGATTTGACTGACTCTGTTCTGTTATGTCACATTTGGTTTTACTCTCTTCAAAAAAAAGTAGTAAGAACTGTGGGAGTAATAAAACCCAAAATGTGTAATTGTCATTGTACTAAAGAAAGGAAAAGAAAGGGCTCTAAAGGATATAACTGTATATATATTTAAGTGTATAAGATAGATAACCATATTACTGAGTTTTGTTGGATCATTGAACAAAACTGTTTCCAGTCTCACTGTTTGAAAGTCCACTTTATATGTTTTAATTTTGTAACTTGAACAGCTATTTGTAAGATAATAATATGTAATCTATTAACCAGTGATTTCCTACTGTGTATTTTTTCTGAAATTCTGTGTAACTTGTACCCTTTTTCTGTGTTTTTTTTCTTTTTTTCCTTAAATAAAAAAAAAAAAAAAAGGTAATGAGCATTGTAGATTATTCAATAGAACCAAAAGAAAAATGAAATGGTCCAGTGAAGGGGAAATGTTAACATGAGTGTAGAAAACGGCCTCGGGGGGTGACAGAACACCAGCATGGATTTCACCTTGAGCAAAACTGGTGAACCTGTGCAATCAGAAAACTAGGCAATAAACGCATATTAATGGAAATAACATTTCCATTTCCTTGGGGTTTCTTAACTTTAGTGTAAAGCTGTTTTGTTGCCTGAGGACAAAAAAAAAATTCACAGCGAAGTTTATGGGCAGAAAATTTTAAGCTTTACCACCTAAACTTCTGCAATGTGTGAGGAGGATTAGATTTGGAATTAAATGTAATTCTGCTGAATTTCCCAATTATTCTACAATTAGGTATAAGAATAATATGTATTCCCATTTCCCATGTTCCAAGGGAGTTACTTACCACCAGAAACACACTCTGGTGTGAAAGAGATGTCATCAAGGGCAATGAAGATATCCTCATTTCCACCCAGATCAGCTTCAAATGCTACTTTAAATGGACTGTTACTGGAGAGAGATGCAAGCCCATATGTCCATCCAGTTCTTCTATTTCCAATCTCTGACCATACTAGGATGTCTAGCCCTGATTCCTCAATGATATACACCTAAAAATAGAAATAACCAGAGAGAGCCTCTTGTGATTAAATGTTAGAATTATTTGGATACATAGAAGATTGAGGTGAAAGATCGATACGTTAACTATTATATTTTCTATCTAAAGAATTTGGGGTTTACAAAGTCAACCAAAGCATGTCGTATTCCTTTGGTGCTGTCACACTTACCTATATGCATTAACTGGACATGATAAAAACTGTAACTTTCTTAAGCATCTAAAATGTTAGAGGAGACATATAGGTACACGTTTTGACTGTTAAGAAACTTTTTTTTTTTGGAATTACTCAAAAAAAAAAAAAGAGAACCCTCAGAATAAATACATATGAGAATATGCAAATCATTTAAAAATCAAAATAATGTACAGAAGATATTTAACATTTTGACGAGAAGAGGTTAAAATAAGATCAGTATTTAGCACTAAAATACAAGGACTATCAAATGCAGCCAAGAAGTAGTAAATTATAGGGAGAGTTAGCTTTGAAACCAACAACCATGATAAATTCTAATATTTTTAAAAATTTTTTTGTCTTTTTCCTTTCCCTTTTTTATCGGTGCCGAATATCGAACTCACGACTGCCTGCTTGCAAGGCAGGTGTTTATGCCGCTGAGCTGACTCCCAAGCCCCTAAATTCTAATATTTTAAGAGGGAAAGGAATTTATAAGAAATGTGATTTTCTACAGTTGCTCTGAAAATACTCATTTCAACAATAAAGATGCAAGGTTAAAAAGTTTGGGTTTGTATTTTAATTCTAGAAACTAAACTTTCAGTTTAGTTTTAAGCAAGTTAAGCAATAGCTCTACACTAAGCTATGATCACAGTTCAAAATGCTTTTCTACATTCTTTCTTTACTTAAATTTCAATTATCTTACTCAGTTGCTGAAGCTAGATATGTTGAAATATTGTCTATGCATATTCAGCTGTAATGTTCATCAGAAATATATTCATGATTTTTAACATGATAAAAATAAAACTAAGAAACAGCAAAAACACATGAATAGTAATTTTCTTGAATCGCAGTATATTTTAGCTAATGAATATATTTCCTAATGAAAATTATTACTTTCTCATTTTTTTGAGTTTCAAAATTTATCTACAGAAAAAGGATTCCAAATGTTTACTATCAGAAGAAGTGAAGTCACTCATCCTACTACGAAGATGAAATTAAACTGACATTCAGAAATATTATCAAGAATCACCAAATATTTCAGAGCATGAAATTAAACATGTTGCTAGTGGCCACCAGTATAAAAGGTTGAAGACTGAGTCAGAAATCCAATTGTTAATAAAAGTTAAACAAAACAACAACAGCAAAAAAAAAAAAAAAAAATCAAGATTGTTAGATTATAACAGAAAATTGAAAAAATTTGCTCAGTTTGGAATCCAGAAATGAGAGATTTTCATATACTACAATCAAACTAGATATTTTGGAAAAGCAGACATTTCCAAAGCAGAATTTGCTTTTTTATTACGATACTCCATTTAGCGAAATAAACTAAGATACACAATGAACGAAGCTTGAGTCAGTTGACTATTCCAACACTCAGTATAATCACTCAACCATTCCAAAGAGTTCTTAGTTTCTGGGCTTGGTAGGGACATAGCCTTGAAATCCATGCAGCATTTAAAATTTTTTTTTTCTTAATATCTCATCCAAAAAAGATGTGAAGTTTCCAATTCAACTTGTTGGTAAAAGAAGGTCACTGCATAGAGTGAGCTCTGTTTTCTATGTAATTCCTTGTTTAATCAAACTGAATTGAAAAGCAATTGCTTTATTAGACCTATTTTGTAATTGTGGAAAAATAAGATCAGAAAAGAAAAATATGTGAAAATATAACCCCAAAGCTTTCTGGTTTCCATTAAACTTTGATATATATGTATTTTACTAATACATCTATTTTTGTAATTTTTATATTCCAATTGGCTCTCTGAATTCAGTTTTTTTTAACTCTTCAGTCAGTCCAAAATTTTCCTGCCAAATTCAATTTTTTCCATTCTCTTTTCAGCAAATGTCTCAAAATCCACCACGAACCACCCTGTCTCACTCCCACGAACATTAAACTCTGGTAAATATCAACATATCGTATCTCATTATGTGACCACAATTAATTCTGGTCACATTCACTAACTCATTATTTAGTTTAATGAAAGTTTTGACAACTTTATAGGTGTCTTTGTAAACCATCAATGTATTAAAGTGAACATTTACATGTTAGGTTCAAGATTTCTGTATCCACAGTGGTCAAGACAAAAGCTAAGAGTATTATTGAAGAACTCCACATTATAGTAATTCATTATGGCTAAAGGGAAATATGCAACAGGATTAAAAATTAAAATAAAATTTCTATCTCCCAACTGAAATAATATTCATTGTATTCAGAGGGTGATAAGGTGATAACTTTCAGCAAAAGTGAGTTTTTCACAAATCTAATATTTATTTTAGATTTATTTAGATTTATTTTAAATATTAAATATTTTAATATTTATTAAGTTTTAATATTTATTTTAGTAAGTTAAACATCTATTACTTTGTAAAACAAAATGGGTTAATTATATTGAAAAATAATTGCTTCTAACTTAAATTGTTATTCATTTTACTTTAATATATATTAATTTTATACATCATTAAAATTTTGCAAAACAATTCATGCTAGGGTAATAAGTTATTATTTAAAATAGCTTTCACAAAATTATACAGTAGGTGAATTTCTTTTGATATTTTAAATTTTGGTTGAGCAAAGACTTAGTAATATATTAATGGTCAATGTTACATATTATAAAGGAATGACTTTTTATCATGATTATCAATAAAACAGTTGGAATCAATGAATATATAAGGATACTACATTAAAATAAAATTTATACTATTATATAGTTAAAATTATAGTCAAAGATTATAATGAAAATGACTACTTATGAGACACGAAAAGCTTTAAGAGAGTTTGCTCAATTAAAACATAGAATAAAATTATAATGGCATCTAGATACAAATATTATAAGACTATCTACTTAAATGATATTTTTCTGACAAAGCTACTCCTATTTATTTAGAAATTACATTCTTTTGAAGAAAAGCATTCAATAGACATGAGGAAGTAACAGAGAATGAGAAAGCTAATGGCAATTTTAAGAATATTGGGAATATTCAAGTCCTGCTATTTCTGCAATTCCATGTGTCTAGGTTGCCTAGGTGAATGTTTAAAGAAACTGATTAGCAACTCTTCCTGAGTTTTTCTCCTGGTGCAATTCAGGCTCCAAGGGGCCTTCAAACTGAGGGGTCATTGGCAGCCATTTGGATGTTCTGAGGACCAGCTCTGGATATCAGACCACTTCATCCATTCCATTAGGTATTTAGCTCATTAAAGCCAGTGACTGAAAGGAATTAGTGAGGAAAATGTGACCTTCCCTGGCCCCAGCTGCTCTCAGCTTTTCTGCTAGGGATCTGCTCTTTAATCACGTCTGAGCATAAAGCAATGAACCAAAGCACTTCACTGAACCAAACCATTGCTTCATCTGCAGAAGCACATAGTTTCACATGAGTTTAATTTCAAACTACTCACATTTTAAGAAGAAAAAAAACATAAAGGGAAATTTCCCTCAGAGATTAGAAGTGTTAGAAGTGATGGGGTTTTAAACTAAGTTTATGAGGGGTAAAAATAACAATGCTTCCCAAATTAATGAAATTTAGCCCATACACATATTTTATGTAATATGAGCCTCCATGAATATATGGGTACAGGGTAAGACTATTCACTGCCCCCAAAAGCTGTGAAATTAGGGAAAAACAAAGTTAAACAAGTAACTAAATATATTTAACACAAACTTGCTCCATTTGATCCAGCATATAAGGGACTTAAAATCATTACTGTGGTGGTCACAACCAAAAACTAACTAAGCAAAATGAAAATCAAACATCTTCTGAGGTTTTTCAGAAAATTGAGACTGCAAAGAAAAATTATTGTACCTAAAATAGGAATGTTATGGTTTGGATTAACAATGTCTCCCAAAACTCCTGTGGAGATTTTAGAAGATGATTGGAATATGGTGTGCTAAACGTTATCAGTGGATTCATTCACTGGTGAATCCAACCACCGAGTGTGCTGGTAGAGGTGGGTGACAGTTGGAAGAGGAGGGTCGCTGCAGGCCTGACCTGGAAGGGTGAGCTTTTTCCCCAGCTCTTTACTTCTCTCTCTGCCTCCTGATCACTGTGATGTGAGCAGCTTTCCTCTACTGAGAGCCTTCCCTCATTCCATTTCTGCTCCTGTGCCTGCTTTTCAGTCACTGTGAGGACTGAAATCACAAGTCAAAACAAACTACTCCTCTTTTATGATGAGAGTGTTAGGTACCTTGTTCCAGCAAGCAGGAAAGTGGCTAAGACAGTAGACAAGGGATAGCACATTGCATCACAACCTTAGTAGAACAGAAAGTACAGGATGAGTACTCTCCCAGACACTAGTACAAGGGAAGAACAATCTCAGCTTGCTTGTAGGCCTACGTCACATGTAAAATTAAAAAAAGTTCTCAGAACAAATGATACAGAGAATCAAATATACATAAAGAAAAGAGCACTTGAGAAGAAATAAAGGCACACAAAATACTTTTTTATTTTTAATTAATCTAACATAATTTGATCAAAAATAATGACAATGTTTTCAGGTGTTTTAGTTTAGGAATATGTAAAATTCATGACAGTTTGGTATGAGGAGAAAAAAGGAGATTAGAGACACCCTATCAGAAGATACTTGCACCACAAACGAAGTCGGATAGTGTTGTTTGAGATTAGAGTGACAAATACATATTGAAAAGTCATGAAGAAATACCATAATGGTTTAAACAAAGTATAATTGATATGGTAATAGAGTACAAAATAGAATCATAAAATGGTCAATTAAAATAGTTAAAGCAAAAAAAAAAAATGAACAGAGGACAAAAAAGAGAGACAGTAAAAGGAAAAAAGGCAGCAAATATGTTAATCCGAATATGGACAATCAC